TGCCGAGGGAGGAGAGCCCCGCTCCCCATCGCCGCGGTGCTCCGAGGCCTAGGACGGAGAAACTCCTGTTGCTGAGAGCTGGCGCGGCACTGTTGGCAGCCACACGTTAACCGTCATACACTTCAGTATGATGATTCTCATGACAAAAATGCTCAAAGCCTCATTAGTAACCAGCGCCATTTAATTACACGTTGATAAAAGTGCTTATGGCAGTTGCTCATTGCGTGGTAACGGCGTGCTGAGATTTGGAAACTGTAGAGACACCCCAACGTGCTCCCCAGAGCGGTCGCTGTATTCAGCACTCACCAGAACAGAGCTGCGCTTCCGAAGGACTCCTCCAGCCGGGGGTTTCTGTGCGGTGCTAAGACCCCCGACAATCATCCACCTTACCTCAAATCTTGGTGGTTTCAAACAGTCCAACCTAGACGAACTGCAAAAGCCACCACATGCCTTACACTCACCAAACCACCCCTTACCGCCCAGCGGACTTGGCGTTAGTCCTTGTCTTGCACTTCCTATAAACCTTGAATTGTTTCCAGTGGTTCTTCAGGTGCAGAACGGGTTTTTACTTTCAAAACTCTCAAGAACTCTCAAAATGTTAAAATGGCAGCAACAACAACAACAACAAAAGGAAGGCTATAGTGAAGAAACAATAAAATAAAGGCAATTTCATGTAGCTGGTTAGGCATGGTTTGGCTGGCTGACAGATAAAAGCAAAATGGCCTTTAGCAGAAGTCTATTGACCTGCTGAAGTAGGTGACAATGCAAGTCTCTTCTCTTTGGGATGCAGAAGTTTCCTTTGATTTTAGGGTGAGAACACAGGAATTTAAGAGAGCTTAGTTGTTTGGGGAAGATTTTTTTTCCTTTTTTTTTTTTTCAGCTAGCAAAATAACATGACACAAACTTGAAAGATGTTCTGTGGTATTTGAGAAGCTGAAAGTTGCCAAAAAAATTTAAAAAATCATTTTAAAATGTTCTAAAATACCTCTTTCATAATTAGAATTCTTATTTTAATATCCAAAATACGTTAGCTGGTATGTAAAAAAGAATTTAATTAGTAGCCAGGAAAAAGCCCAACAGTTGCTTACATTCATTTTGCAGTAATTTTTAAGCTGCTTGAAACTTATGTAAAGTAAGTAATCTGTAATTACTTCACTGAAGTGAGAGGCTTTCTATTCTCAGTGAAGAGACCATTTTATTTAAATTAGATCCTAAAACAAGTTTCAAAGAAAAAAATAATAAAAATAGGATTTAAAAGCTTTTTCAGGTTTGATATAAAAATGATTAAAAATGCAAGGTTTAGATAACACAAACTGTGACTACACAGCTCCTGTTTTCTCTCCAGTTCAAGATTTAGGCTTTTTCTTATTTAGACTTGAAATAGAAATTTATTCCTCCAGCAAAAGACCAACTATTGTAGCCTTTTGCCATGCCTGTTTTTACATCACTTTTAAGAGGGACTGGCATGAGTTCCACCTTTCTGGTGCTCACGTTCTCAGATTCCACGTTATTGCCAAATAGGAGCCTTACACTAAAACAAGTAACACGCGGCCAGGCCGCACGTTGCCACCAAAGCCATGAGGGTGAATTCCCCTTGGTTTGGTGAAGAGTTTCTGTGCCCACAAGAGCCCTGCGTTTGCCTCGCTACCTCGTGGAGGCGCGTGCGCACAGCCAGCCCCGGTACCTTAACCGACCCGCGCTCTTGTTAACGGGGCTGCTCTTCTGAAGCTGCAAACCACACTGAAATGAGGCGTAGGTGGAGACAGAAAAAGAGAAGGTTGCGTTGCAGAGCTGCTGAAAAACCCATTTGCCCATTGAGAGGGATGGATTAGCGGATTTCACAGCGAGTATCCAAATTTTCATTGCTACTTGACATATTAGCAAGGTCATTTTCAGCTGCTGCAACAGATAAAAGACTGATTTAAATCAATAGCTGAATCAATTTGAAGTACTCTCTAAAATTTGTAGATAGCAGCAGTGAGCTTAAAATCTACCTTGTGCATTTTGCAATAAATGCTTTAAGAATCAAACCACTACAACTACATTGTTATATAGAACTGTTTTTCTCCATCTTATCATCTCGACTTGTTTGCTTCTGCAGTATGTGAGCATATTTTGCACTCTCACATTAGTAGATATGCAGGTTTTTATGCTTATTAGCATGTTCCATTTATACTGACTGTGGACTTTACTATGAATAAAGGTAAGTGCCCCCATGGCGGGTTTAGCAGACCTTCTGTACCTAGCAAGTATCCTTTAGAGATCAACTACATGATTCCAGTCTAAGACAACAACTAGAGTGCGAGCACAGGAATCAGAAGCTATGGCTTAAGGGACCAGGAAACACGGCTGCAGGTGGAGGAAATGCCATTCCCTGAATCCCGCAATCCCAACACCCCAGTCCCGCAGCCTGATCCTGTCGGGGAGCGGCCATGGCGGGACGGTTTCCTGCCAGGATTAAAGCACGGAGCAGGCGCGGGGGCGGCCCAGGACAGGGCTCATGATCGCGTGTTCTCCTGAGCGGCCCCACGGAGGCTGCATCGGGGGAACTCGAGAGTTCATGAACCAAGTTGCCTCTCTAGGAAGCCTTTTTACAAGGAATTCTGCAAGCGGCAGCATTCCCGTTTAAATTGGTGCTAATCAGTATGGCAGAATCACTGCGAGAGCTGGAGCAGGGCCTGCCGCATTCAGGGGAAGAGGCTTTCCAAGGTGGGCTAACTTGAAAGCGTTACGAGACACAAAAACAGCATTTCTGAATAGACCGAATGAGTGCTAAGCTAATCTGTAGACTTGAAATTCCCAAAGAAAACTTGGTAACCGACTGCAAGATTTCTGGTGTGAGCTTTCTGCATATACTGAAGTTCTCCCAGTGCTGTTCTGCTTAGTTGTGCACGGAATAAAAGCCAAGATTCATTCAACAGTCTCTCCTGCCGGCACGTATTTCCTGGCTAGGGCTTAGGTGGTTACAAACAGCACCAGCAGCAAACACATGTTGTTTAACCTGGGGCCATTAATTGCCATTTTTCATGCATCATGTTAAGGTTTAGTTTACCTCTGTACTTTTAAAACATTGAGATGAAAACTCTCCACTCCCTCCCTACCACGAAGCACCCCGAGCCGCGGCCGTGTCCGCCTGCAGCAAGGCGGAGGGGGACACCCGGAACTCCACACTCATACGGAGAAAAGCAGCATCTCTTTAAGAAGCAGATGACGGCCTGGGCAGTGACACGGTGAGGCTTTTGATATTGCTGTTTATTTCTTTTTAAAAATTAAACAAATATCAACATATTATTCCAGCAACATGCTACTAAGCAGTCTATACATTCCTTTCATTAGGATCATTCTACCTAGACCGTGGTTGGAGGGAACTGAGTTACAATTCAGACCTTTAATAGTACCAGGCAGAATTAAACCAGCTCAGAACTCCTCCCCCGAATCTGACATTATATCTCTTTTAATTTGGACTATCCACATTAAATACTGCATTGCCTTTAATACCTTTCTGAAATATAAATATTAAGTTTCTCTAGGAGAAACCCAGTCTCAAGAATATATTTTTTTCATCTTATTCAGGGTCACTTACCCTGTTCAGATAAAAATTTCCATGGCAGGAAAGGGATTTTCAACCAGGATCTTGGGAAGCAGGCTTTTAAATAGTGCCTGAATCAGTTCTTCCGTAAAATTTCTGATTAAAACCCAAATATTTTCCGTAACTATTTTCAGCAGTGCAAATTATGTGTGTCCTCCAAAAAGTTTTAATCAAAATCAGTTTAATTAAAACCAGTTTGATAGCTTGAATATGCAAAGTCGAACCACAGGATATTAAATACTTTTTGCGATTTATCTGCATATCTACAAACAAAACATCCCTCAAATATCCCATGGTGTAGAAACAATTGCAGTAGCAATTAAAAGATTTTCAGTCGTCAGATTCAAGGTCACTAGTTAAATTATTCAGTCGTTTTTACTCCTACCAAATACAGTATTTTATAGGCATGTATGCTTTTTTGTTCGATGTTCCCTACATTGTTTAGAAGCACACTCTTATACTCTCTATTTTACAGTGCTGTGCTTTTTTATTTGTTTGTACCATTTTTAGCTGAAAATTATTGTTCAGTTTATACAAATCACCCATGGTTTCAACTGTACAATTACATATCATGTAATCTCACAATTCCATAGGGTAATGAATGATTCTCTGCATTTTTTTTTTTTTATCAAAAAAGCAATATACAATTAATGAATCCCAGTAGGATTTTTGTTACAAGCATTGACCTTCTTACACATTTAGATCCGGACCGAACAGAATCCTCAGGCAGGTCTGAAGACGTGTGCGCAGATCGGCCCGGCGCGCAGCACCACCGAAAGCTCTCGCCGTCCGCCAGCTGCCAGATCCTCCTCAGGGGCTGTTTCCTCATCACGAAGACAGGGAAAAACAAGACAGACCAGCTGTGATGGCACAGTGGACTTTCACGCAGGAAGAAGGCCCAACGGTAACCCTTGATAACTGATAAATTCTCATTTACTGTGGTATTTCGGGATCCTACATGGAATGGGTACAAAGAGCTCCGCAGCATTGGAAGATTCTTCTTACAATCTTCCCCGGGCAAATCACACCAAATTTAGGGCCACGCTATTATTGGTATTTTAATTTGCAGTAGCTTTGCCATCAGGGAGGATCTAACCCACATCATCATAGTGCAAATGTAACTTCCTGTACAGGTACCTCCTGGCAGTAACAAACCAACACAGAGAGGTCCTGTATAAAGAGGCATGGGACATTTTACTCAGTTATGCACACAGGCACCTTCTTTCTTTGCTGAGCTACCCAGTTTTCTGAAAACGTTTTAAAAATAACACCTTCTTTGACAATATTAAAATTATCACAGGTATCCATTTCCTCTTCAGTAAACTGATGAAGTACAGTATAGACTGATTTTTCCAACATCAGTTTAAAAAGGGCTGAAAAAAATAACAATGTTGAATCATAATTTCTTCCAGCATTTTGCAAAAGTATTTTAGATGCCCCCATCCTTGCACCAAGAGAACACTATCCTACAGATGACGATCAACATTCATCTTCTTTATACGATGAAGCAGGGCATCCTTCTCCATCTGGACCTCTGCAAGAGCCATTTTAGCTTTGGCTAGTTCCTGTTTGAGACATTCATTTTCTTCAATAAGCTAAAAAGATCAGGTTAGAAAAGAAAGTTAGCAGTGCTTCTGCATACTCATTACAGTAATCAGTAAAATATCAGTTTGTTGCTGGGTGCAGGTTGGTTTGGGCCAGAGATTGACTCCCACTTAGTGAAACATGGAGAAAGGTGATCATAGCTCGAAAAACAAGATTCCCAGACTGCAAGTAGTGTGGAAATGACACCGGGCTCTCAACTCTGGGAATGGATTCCCATCCAATAGCAGAAACTGCTGTGCACGTTTTGTCACCAGCAATTCACAATCCAAGTATAAGTGATGTATTACCATGGGTCTGACCCATGGGCCTGGTCCTTGGCCTTTGGCCGTCATGTTGCACAGGCCTGAGGAAGAGAGGAGGCTGATGGAGGCAGCTGGTGACACTCAGAACACTCCCCTCGTGTAAAGCACAACTGCTCTGTAGTGTACGACTGTATTTAGAGAGTAACACTAAATTTACTTTATGTGACAGTGTATTAAACATGCCAGTTCAATTTACATGCCAGAATTTACATGCCAGTGTATTGAACTATACTGCAATATCTGCAATTTGTATTTTCTACGTCTAAAAGAGATTTATACTCAGAACATTTAACAACTGTCATGTCTAATGATTGAAATGATTTTGTAAAAAGAGGTAAATAAATAAGTACATCAAAAGGCATTCTTAATACCTGATCTCTGGGGAAGGCAGCTGAATCCCTGCTTGGTGTGTAAGGCCTGGGAGTTCCACAAGATATCTGCGTGGCCTGGTCCCGTGTTCTATGTCTGGCGGGTCCAGGTGCTTGATGCACTGTATCACTTGTTTTCTTGATCTTTGACACATCATTTACTCTTTGATTGTCTGTTTCACAGAGAAATACTTGAGATTAAGGAGCTTCAGGGGTTTTGTTGTTGTTGTTAGATTGATTCTTATCAGCACCAAATCAAAACTCCTTCAACAAATACACTTGTAGTATTAACATGTATCAACCACGCAGAATCAGATTAAAAAATAAGTAATACATTATTTAAAATCACATACCCTTCTGGAGAAAAGGAGAAAGGAAAGGAGGAATGAGAAGAAAGAATATGGATGCATGTATCTACCAGGTTGAAGAATATTAACACATTTTTGTACTGATCACTATCATCACAGAATATGGATTCTGAGTAATTACGAGCTATAGAACAACACTGAAGCCTGCTATTCAGAAAACACATCCGAATAACTATGTATTTTAGATCATAATTATCTAAATTATCCTGATTATCTTGGAATAGGCATTGAAATTGGAGGAGTGTGGCAAAGGAAAAACAATCCTACTAATAATTACTGAGATACCAGACTGCAGGAACATACATACCTCTAATGAGAAAAGAGCCATCATCATTTCTTTCTATCGAGAGTATGTCAATATGCAGTGTTATGGGCACCAGTTCAGACACCTTGAGATTTTCACGAGGGCTGTCATCCTAAAATACACAGATATTCAAAAATTACTTTGAAGGTTTAGTAGATTGAAATAGTTAATTAAGATGTTAAATTACACATAAGTGGATTTAATGAAACTTGAAAGGCAACACTTCAGAGTAGAAATTTCTAGCCTTTTTTTTTCTCTCCTCACCAAACTTTTGCTCCATACATTTTTTTTTTTTCCTCTGGATCATACTAAAGATGTGAAATTATCTCTGGAGTGACTCTGCTGAACTCAGTATATACAGGCTAAAATACTTCAAAGTATTTCACAGACGTCTCAGTAATATTAAATCCCAACTCAAGATGTTCTTTAATGCAGGAGCTCTCAGAGATAAGAACCCCACGCTATAAAATAACTTGTATCTGATTTTCCCTCGAACTATTTCAAGATTGAATAGATAAAACTATCATTCTTGAGGGGATTTTGTCTTTTTAGAATATAGATGACAGCAGCTGCAGTTCAGTTACATTAGTGTACTCAACAGAAGAGAAACATCACAAATTGCTTCTGGTTGGGTCTCTCCAGGAAGTAATTTATAGGTCATTATTCCTGTCAAGCAGAGTAATGCATCCAGTCTAATCAAGAACTTGCATCCAGTCTAATCAAGAACTGTATGTACTATCAACATTGAACATACTGCAAGATCGAACTGTTGAGGTGTAGCTGCCAAAATACCTTGGAAAAGAAAATGAGATTGCAGCAGAAAGTGCAAAAATAAAACGAGAATTTAAGAAAGGGGGTGAGTTTTCTTTTCTTTTTTACTTCCCCCTCGCTCCCCTGCAGGAAACATGCTACATCAAATCTCACAGAGGAAACATCCTGCACTGAACAGGCAATGCAGCATAAAGTTGAAGCGTATCCTTCTGCTCTTTATGGTCCCAAAGCTCAAGAGAAATGAATCATTTGCATGGCAAATGGGCACTCCAATCCACACTGCCTCTACCTGCAGCTTGTCACCCATTGAGACTGACTTCACCGTGACTTACAGGCGCTGCTGAGGGCTTCAGCGCCTCTGTTGCCAAGCAGATTGTGCCAGCTTATTCAGGTGCAATCACCACCTCAGAGACAGCTATTTTCTCTGAAACATTTTGCACAAGTCTGACATCTTGCCAATAAGCCAGAACAATCCTGTTTCAAATTTAGATGACTAAATATTGAGATCTTCCTTCTTCACTTCTGTGCTAACAGTGCAGCCTGGGGATCCATTCCGCAGCCCTGATGGCGAGGCCTGGTGCTGCTGCTCTAGCAGAATGGGTGCTATAGGACTGCCTAAGGATCCACAGGGGATGGAAAAGCTGCACCAGTGCTCAGGGAATACAGATGTGTTTTGATATTCAAGTGTTCAGACTAGACTGTACAGATACAGCTCATGTTAGGTTTAAGAGTGATCTCAGCAGAATCAAGGCCCTACTTAGCACAAGATGCAGAACTGGAGGTGTTATTTTGCTTATCACTTTGGTAAATTTACATAAGTGATTATTTATGCAATGTTACAGTGATCGTTTTTTAAAATCAGCCTTACCTTTTAGCCCATGGCTGCACAGCACAGAGCTCACTCTGTCTCTTTTAAGTGTCTGAAAGGAGACTTGAGCAGCAGTGCCCTCTTAATGTTACTATTTTAAGCTTCAGTAGTGAGAAAAGCCTATATTATTTAGTAACTGTTTCTAGGCAAGGCAGAACAAGAAATCTGGGCTCTAAGCAGCCATATTCGAGTGACTGGACCTGGAATTCTAATAAGCTGTTTCCTTCTTTTGTACTTAACTTTATCTTCTAAGTAGGAGAGACAATTAACCTCTACAATCTGTGTTTCATAATTAGAAAACCAGCACTATGACAAGCAAAAAGCTCACCTAAATAAAAATAAAAAAGACAAAGTACAAAATATGTTCACACAACTAATCTGCAACCATGCAGAGAAATTATCTCTGGACATACCACGGAACTAACCAAATCTATGGATTTTTAAATTGTTTAAGTGTTATCTACAGACTTTATACAGTAAGTATGATAGCAGTTTCTTTGAAGTTAGCTATACCCAGATTACTAGTTTATCATCAAAGAAACAAGAACATATTTTTTTTTGAAGAAGCCAAATAGCTTTTTGTCAACATACTTTTAAATTAATCCTTGCATTCGAAACTTTTATCTTCATAGGCATCACTGCTGCAACAGTTTCATCTTCTAGAAAATGCTGAATATTGGTGAGGGAAGATGTTAGAAATTCCGCGCTGAAGTTCTCTATGTGACACTGAAGAAAGCCATTTTTTACAGCCAGCAGAGAATGCACGATAGCACTCGGCCCACTTTCCCACCTCAGACTAATCTCAGGTGATGAATTAACTGGTCCAGCCACAAATTTACAGTCCGAACCTATTGCAAAAGGAAAAGAAACTTGCATTAAAATTTTGCAGTGCCAATTTGAAAGCAAGTGTGACACAATTACTTTTACCTATATTACCTCATATTAGCCAAGAATTACAGCTGTATATTTGCATATCGATTTGATATGCAATCAATTGCAAGCGTATCACTTACTTAAAAAGTACTACAGGGAAATCAATGGTACATAGAAGTACTTGTACCTCACAGTGAGGACAGAAAAGGACAGTAGAGAAGTATTACTGAGCATACAGGATTGCTATTGTCTTCAATGCCTTGCCAAGGGAAAAACGTTATTTTGCATACTCCTCAATTAATGCATTTGTAATTCAGGAAAACATTTAAAGTCAGTTTACACTTTCAGGAGAGCAGGTTTTCTCTGGAAAAGAGAAAACTCGGGAACACACACGCTAACACTGAACATGGGGACACTGAAACAACGGGTCAGTAAGATGGAGAACAGGATCGTCTGTTGCTTCCACTGTTGGGGGTCAGCAGATTTGAACCTTAAATGCAAACTGGCAGTTTCTTGTTAGTTTCAGTGTAGGAGGATTCACCACCACAAACAAACAAGCACCACACACTCAAGGGCAAATTTTAAAAAAGAGTTTTAAGAAGTCGTTTCAGTCACTTTCATGGTTGTCCTATGGAAATGACATGCAAAAAGAACACATAATGTTCACAGCAATTACTTATATTAAAGAGCAAAATTACTGAAGTTTGAAAGACTGTTGAAATCAAAGGAGAGATTGTACTTGAAGTCAAGTAAAATTAACTAAATTGTGTAAAGTTTACATTGAGTATCCACCAGTTAAACAAATTTGAACAAGAAGGCAGTATTAAACAAAAAAATGGTTAATATAGATACTTTTTTTGATTTAACCTCTGATTACCTCAGCAAAGTTCAACACTTAAAAATTCAGAAATAGAAAAAAATACCTTGCAATTAAATGGAAGCAATTCAATTTAAAGTACAAGTAAACCCATGCTTCCTTCCTCTAGTTTTGCTTCTTCTCTCTTATCTCATTCTACCATATTGCTGACATGCTGTTTATATAAGTTATATTGAAATCTACATGCTATACATTAAAATCTCCCCTTCACCTCTGGCTGTGAGTATATGAGCAATTACTGTCTTATGGGCAGCCTAAGAGCTGCCTGTCCCCCTCCGTGAGGAGATTACTGCCCAGGCAAGCAGGCCTTTCCAAGGCTGCTTGGTGGCAGGATGAGGGAACAGGCACAGGCTGAAACGAGACAGGTTCAGGCCAGGTGTAGGGAGTTAGGAGTGTCCGGCAGCCCGGCAGCTCCCAGCGATGCCGGCTCTGTCACTGGAGGTTTTCCAGACCTGACTCTATAAAGCCCTGAGCAACCTGGTCTGATCTCATGGCTGACCCTGCTTCGAGCTGCAGGTTACACTCCAGACCATCCTGCCAAATTGAGGTAGCCTGTGACGCTCTGAAGTGTGAATTTCCTGTGTGGCAAGATGCTTTGCTCCTCTTTCGGAGATAACCTGTTTTGAATAAATTTGCATTTGCTGCCAAAAAGATAAAAAATAAAAATAAATTAATAAAACCATGCAACCTTCCTTCTTGTTCAGAGACTCATACACCCTTTTAATACACTGCTTTCGCTGCGGTTAGCAGGAGTTGTGACATCCAGGAAATAAGAATTTATTCCGTACAGCACACCCCCCCACACGCCTTTAAACACAGGAAAGCCACAGTTCTCAGAGCCAGGACTGCTGCTGAATTAGGCATCCAGTTCACAGGGCACTTTGTTAAAGCTGCAGGATGTCACTGCTGAGCACGATACGCTGGTGAGCCACAAGCTTTTTCGATATAGCAACTCTCTACAGATACACTCAAGCCTGCTGTTGAAGAAAAGAGACATTTGTAGCACAGGAACACATTTTCAAAGGCTGGTTTGCTGTTAATTGCTAGGTAGCATGTCCATGATAAAGCTCCAGTAGCCCTTGCACTGGTATCCCACAGATTTTGCTAGTTGCTTTTGCCTTTTCCCCAAGATCGATGGGTCTAGATTGTTTTTCTTGTGCTTTTGCTCATGGATTCTCTTGGTTGCTCTTTGCTGCTGTTAATTCATTTAAATTGCTTCTCTTGATCTCATTCTCAAGTTTTTCCTAACCTTGATCCTCTAGAAAAAAACTTTGGTTTTGAACTGTTTTTCTCCTTAATTCTTCTATCAGAAAAAAAAAATGGAGGAAAGGGAGAGCAGCAGCCACTGCAGAGGATTCCTAACTAAGTGCAGAAAGCACAGCCCTACGGAAGAGAGAAGATGGAAGTCCTGAAAGGAGAGTATCCAGGAACGCAGGAACAACCAGCGTTACTCACTTGGTCCCACCCAGGCAGATACTCACCAGAAAACAGGCAGGAAGAGTTGGAAAACAGCTGCAGTATTTGGAGACCCCAAGCCCACCACAGCCTTTTGTCCGTCCCAGCAGCCAGGCAGGGCACTGGGCCCTCACGGCAGGGCACGCAGGCCCCACGCTCCCGCCCGCGCGAGCAGGAGGGCGCCCGGCTCTCCCTGCCCATTCCCAGGCGCTTCCACAGCGGGCCGGAGCAGGCGGAGGGCTCGGAGCTCAGCCGTGGAGTCTCCCCCGCTGGAGCCCCCTTTGCCTGCAGGGCTCTGACCGCAGCTGCAACAGCAGCTGCTGGCAACTGCTCAGCTCACCAGTAAGTGGGATCTTAGCGAGGGCATCACGGGCCGCAGCACCCAGCAGAGCTCCCTCAAGGAAGCCCAGGCTGCTGCAAGGCTGGAAATTAGGGGCAACCAACCACTGCGAGGGCTGTTTCCTGGGCAAGCAGAGGAGCCAGAAGCAGAAGGCAGGTGCACCAGAGCTGCCCTGAGAACCTACCGAGCAGCAGAGCCGGCAGGCAGCAACCCTGTGGAGGCTGGCAGAGGGGAAGGAGGCAAGCAGCAGCACGGAGGGGCATGCCAACGAGGCGTGCCAAGGCAAAACAGAACAAAAGAAAAAAATCACAGCATGCCACTAGGCTTTTTGGCAGACAGTGTCCATGTACAGCTCTACCTTAATACACTGGTTCTAGATGTGCATATATCTGGCATGAAACCACACCCTGTATTTCAAATCTTGATAGGAAAATACCTCTTATGACCGCTCATCTTTCCTGATGCAGAGTTGGTTTCAAACTCTCTTGTTTAAGGAAAGTTAAGTCAGTTTATACTGTGAGTGTTAACCTCATCTAACGAAGCAGATCAGAAGAGATGAACAAGCTGTTTTCAGAAACAGTTTTTCAAACCAAGATATTTAAACATAGTATTAAGTAAGGGTATTCCAGCTTCATAAAAATCATGTAGAGCAACATATTTAATAATAATAAAACAAAATCAGGAAAATTCAATGCAATTAAAGTTTTCTGCTTTTTTTTTTCTTTCTTTACCCCCACCACTAGAACAGTCCCGTTTTCTTTCCCTCCCACTCAAAGAATGATTACTTCAAAAGAAACTAGTCAGAACAGATATCCTAAGCCAGCAGATGAAGGACGCTCTTGTACTAACATGAGCACAAAACTGTTTTTGTGCTTTAGGGTTCACACTTTTTCATTTTCCAACCAAAGGGCATCCACAAAATGACCAGTCACTAGTTAGTTGCTATAATAAATGTTCCCAACTCCAATTTCACTGTACTGAGATTAAGTCTTACCCACAGTTCTGTTGCAAAGATAGTGTCGAACACTGATATTGCCCAGTTGATTTGGTATCACCCGGTTGACCTGGAGGCATATTTCTGTATCTTCACCTCTGATATCAATTTCACCATTAACACCAAATATTTGAAAAACTACAACAGACATCTGTTAAAAAATTAAGATAAAAAAGAGATTATGAACTGAATTATAGTGGTTATTGTTTATGCAGTTCTGTCTAACCCATTTCTGTCCCAAAGAAAAGAATCTTCGTATCCATAACCCTTGCCCTGAGAAAGGCACAAAGTCTTCTCATTTCTTCTTTTTTTGCACTCCTTAACTGGACAATGTCCAGTCTCTGTGTCCCCAGCACAACCCAGAACTGGACGGCAAAGGCATGGAAGTGAGCAAGGCTTCCCCGACCGTGCCCAAGCAGCACATGGCCTCTGTAGTACCTGAAATTGCCCAGACATGCACTCATCTTCGTATATCACAAACAGATGCAAGCATTCTGAGTGTTGAATCAGGTCAGGGTAAAACACCAGGACGGACTACCAAACTTTGGCAATCTGCAGAGCACTCGGTCCTTTTCCTCTATTTTTGTGTTGCAGTATCTTTCATTAAAAGCAGTAGCCAGTTTTCAAAAGTCAGTTCTGGTGTCTATTACACAAGATAAACACTCACCATCCACTATTCCTTCGGGCTTGTTTTTTCCTAATGATTTTCTAGTTATCTAGTTTTCTAGTTATCTTCTATGCACAGAAAAAAAACCACGCCAGCACACATTTGCATAAGAGAATCTGCACAAATTTTGTTTTGTCTATTGCCTACATGCACAGATTATTGAGAACTTATTTCAAAGGAAACAATCATTTAAGTAAGATTTCAGTTTTTTTAAATGAGAATGATCCACAGATGTTTTAAAGCAAAGGCAGGATTACACAATTAACATTACCAACAAGGAAAATAAGAGGGCAATAAGAACACAAGGCATGTCAGTAGATCTGTTGCCTTTCCTTGGGCACATAAACTTTGAAAATTCCAGTTCCTGACCTGAATTATGACAAGACCACAATTTAAGAAGCATTGGGTAGTGCAAAAATCAGCAAAAAGTAATTGGAGCGCTAGCTGGAAAAAGTCAGAAGTTGGCATGGAGTTACCCAGGAAGCACTTCTCTCTACAGGCCCTGTTCTTGCATCCTTCCCTGAATACTGAGCCCTGTCAGTATAAAGTGCTAGTCAGAAGGTATCTCTGATAGGCCTCTGCAGGACAGTTGTTAAACTCCCATATGTAAATACTGTAGAATCCTACAAGAGCTAAGACAGCATCTCTGTGTGAGAGATGTCAACTGTAGGGTGCTCTTCTATTTATAACGACAATTTACCAAGAGCATTTTAAGTATCATATCCTATACTTAGAACACAGAAGGACATGCCAATATTACAAAATACTGCTACATGCTAAAGCATTTATCAACAGCTGCTTTAGAGGAAGTACCAAGGGCAGAGAATGCTCAGTGGAACTGGGATTACAATTTCCATTTTTACTTACTACAAGTCCATTAAATCTAGAGGCTTATATAATGCACAAAGAAACTCCCTAGAAATACTTCTAAAACGTAATGGATTTCAGAAATATTACCATTTCTTCACTAGTCTCAGGTGCATTCTCTGACGCAGCGCTCATGGCATCTGGGGACGACCCGCCACAATTTTCAGTCACTGCACTTCTTTCCTGGGCATGTTCTGATGGGCTTTGCAAGTTTGTGGCTGTAATGCCTTCCACACACACACCCAGAAAAAGATGTAAAGTTAGCACAGCATGATGTGAATCACTCCTGCATAAAGGTCACTGTCTGTAGCTATACACATACCTTAGCTTATTTTTTAAGATGAGTTAAATTATTAAACAAACTCTTACAGTTTGCACTGCCAAATCCATTCTTTTCACAGAGCATTCAAAATGCTACATGCTCTGCAGGTAAGGCATGATACACTGACAAAAATTAAACTGAGCTCCAATTTAATTTTAAAAATTGTGAAGAGCCTTTTTTTTTTCCAGTCTACCACATCACATATTAAACTGGTCCAGCAAAACAAAAAAAAACAACAAAAAATATTCCAAGCAATATTATGCCTATATCCAAAATCCATGTATCTAAATTTGGCTTTACAGGAAATGGTTGCAGTTTTATCTTTACAGAAATAAGCTACATATGTATGTTTTTATTTTGCTAGTGTGACCATGGTAGGTAGTGTTTCCTTGACAACTAAAAAGAATGCAAATTTAACCTTCAGTTAAATATTTGCTTAACAAGTTAAAAAGGCATGTAAAGATTATTAAAAACGGAAAAGTTATTTTCCGGCATGTCCCACATGCATATGCAGGAATACTCCCACAATCCAAATATGTATCAGGTTTGCAAATGAAGCAGTCTTCTCATCATTTCTGGAGACTAAAAAAGAAAACCTACATTAAAAAAACACTGAATTGTTTTTTATTTCAAGCGGAAGTTATCAGAAAGCAGCTACTCATACAGCTTAGGGAATTATCATATTGCTGAATTCTCTCCTCCGATTAGGAGCAAGTGCTGACACACAGAAAGCAGGAATTGAACAAGTATATTCCTTTACTTGGATCAGAGAAAGTCCATTTCTTTTTTCATCTACTTTTAAACCTGAAGCTCCTTTACCTTTTCAAGCAGAACACTATGATTCAGGGTACAAGTCTGTAAGCACTTAGAGCCAAAGCAAGGGCTTGCAAGCAGGGAGCAGTTCTGCTTAATTCTGGGTTGCAATGCAGCCCTGCAAAGCTTTTGCTGTCCTCAAGAGAGGAAAATTAAGTAGTACTTAACTAAGTAGCACTGCTTCAGTAGCACACCCTATGGTTTTCCCTTGAACTGATCCGCTGTGCAAATATTTAGTGTTAATAATAGAGAATCTAACAATTAGTCCTGTGAAGAAGCATCTAGTATTTGCTGCGCTAGAACCTTCTTGAGTATTGTTTTAGTAACAAACATTTGCACGTATTGCTTAAAAATATTTTCTTAAATCTACTTACCTTTCTCCAGAAAGCTTTGGCTGTCACTTCCATCACTCTCTATCAAATGTTCCTCTAACATCATACTATCGATAGAAATGGTATCCAGAGAGACTTGTGATGGACTTCTCTTCATACTCTTGTAAGAAACAGAGAACGCGGGGAGGCTGGATGGGCAGCGTTCCTTGGACTTTGCACTTTTTAAATACAAAGACATTAGGAAGATATTAATAAAAATTGAGGAAATTTCATATAATTATTTTTATTTCCAAAGGAGGCAAGATATAAAAGAAAACCTAACTATAATCCTCTAGGAAGAAAAAGAGATAAACATAGCAACAGCATGCACTTCTGTAGGCAACTTTGTCAATATTTTTCTTAAAATATATGCATTGTATGTCAGGATAACTAAATATTACATAAACAGTTTTGAACAGCTAAGAATTAATTTTAGATCTCACAGAATGCTACTGCATAGCTTCAGAATTTACATACTTTTATAATTTGCATACACATGTTCACATCTGTCGACAGTTATCGATACTAGTTGCTTTGTACTTTTAGAAATTATTTTAAAATACCAAGAAAAGTGATTTATTGTTAAATCTTCTATACCTTAACGAGGACTGGGAGGCAAACATTTTAACTGAGGTCACTTTTTCTTTGTTGATTTCAAGCTCTTCGGATTCTAAGGCAGTTTCTGTTTCCAAGTCAGCGACTTGATCAGGGCAGCCTTCAGTTGTCCCTTCCTGTTCATTTAACTTACTTGAGAAGGTATTTTTGCCATCCTCTTTTTCAAAGAAAAATTCAGCAGAATCTTCTCTCTTACTCAGGATGGTTCCCGAATCCCTATGATGCCAGCTGCTTCTGTCACCCAGCGGCCCACAGACCTCCTCTGAATCACTTCTACTAAAAAGCCCACTGCTTCCCCCTTCACTTGTGTCTCCCAAACCTTTATCTGAAGCATCATCTGACAATGACATTCCCTTCTGAAAATCCATACTGCTGTCCGATTTAGACAAAAGATGATCCATTGAAATGCCTTTGTTACCTTCAGCATTCATAGGCTTGCAGTCAGACGCATAATCAAAATTAGTAGCACCACCTTGCACTACCTTATTACCTAATTTACTCTCTGAGGCAAGACTTTCCCCATTTTCCAAAGGGGAGAGCACCGATGCCACCAGACTTTCTTCTTCCACAGCTGGAGATTTACAGGGGTTTCCCTGAGTCACTGGATGGAGCAATAAGGCCAATTCTGCACTCTTCAGGAGGATCCCAATGCAGACATCTGTCTGCTTTGCAGGTTTACCTGTCACGGCTTCTACATCATTTTGTAAGTTTTCCAGGAGTAATACAAGGGATTCATGGAGGAACAACAAGAAGAGATACTGGTAATGATTGATCTGCATGCTTACATGCTTTTGAATATGGACAAGAACATGAACGTCTGCATTAGAGGAAGAACTTTCAGACAGTGCTCCGGAGGTGTCAGAGAAGGGGGGCATCTGAATGCGATTATTTAAGGGCTCTGCCTCACTGCTATAATACTCCTTCAGAAGTTTTTTGCGTTGCAGTCTGTTAGCAAGATCACTAGAATCACTTTTGGGAATGTTAAAAGCTGTCTGATTATTTGAAAAAAGCTCTTTTTGCGACTTTGCAAATCTCACTGGTTGGCAAATCCAAAGTGAAAGGGGGAAGGAGTCCACAAAGCTTACTGGCCGACCTTTCCCGCTTTTCGTTCCTTCATAATCTATCCAAAACTGGGAAAAATGCAAGGCCCAAACATCAGTAGCTGCAGATGTCTTTAACGCATACTTATTCAACTTTGGGGCGATATAACCTTTATAAACATCGTGCATTTTTGTGTCTTGCTCATGAGCGTGTCTCTGGAAGATTGGATGCAAAAGGTTAAAATTCTGCTGGGACTTAGGAAATGCAGTGAAAGTTCTACTGAAGAATTCACAGTCTTTGAAGTTCTGAAACAAAGCTTCCAGATCGGAGTGCCTGCAGTTTGGCGAGAATCTTGTGTTCGTCGCGATCATTTCTGAGCTTTGAATGGAAATTGCACGTGGTTGATCTTTATGAATTTCAGGTTTACTTTCACACGGGATGATGAACTGCAATGAAGAAACACATTTCATCTGGTTATAAAGACATAGGTTAAGGTGGTATACAATTAAAGAAACAAAATAGTAGTAATGACAGGTAAAACAAAACAATATCATTCAAAAGCTATGAGAATTGAGTTATACTGATGCAGGCCATGGATAAGTCAAGCTCATGGATTTTGTTTCCTCTCATTTTTAAAAAACGATGTTGTGACAAAGCTACAGTCACTGAAAAACTCAGGCTTTTCTTATTGGAAGGATTTAGATTTAGGACAGATATATTAAAGTGAAATGTCTCGTATTCATCTCAGAAATGACTTTGCAAAAACTATCTTCAATTGTTCAAAAAAAGTTCAAATTCTGAATTTTAGTTACATCATGAATTGTCAGGGATTTTCACCTCACTGAGCACTATAATATTTTATTTCTATGGTAAAACATAAGGAAGCTATAGAACATACTAACACGGTTAATATTCTTAGCATTGCAGAATAGATATTTGTGACCATTATCTCAAAATCATACAATAAATGTTATGACAAAAACAAAAATACACTGCAGCTCCTAACAAAAATCAAAATTTTGCAGTTTGAAGAATCCGTTTTAACTTGCATATCTTTAGTCTGAGTTTTAAAGAAAAGAAATATTCTATGCCTGAAGCTGAATTTTTTATCGCTGCTGTGAACCTTGCCCACACTAGTCTTGCTAGTATCAGTAAAACTACCTTCTGTCATAGTATCTCCATGCTGGATCTAGAAACATCAGAGTAAAAGATAATTCTGAACTCACTTGAAAGATGGTAGGGACTAAGACTGTTAGTGTGATTAAAAAGACTCATGTCAAAACAACTAAGCACATAAATATATAACAAAATATATGTAACTAAATATTAATTAAACTAAAAGGAAAAATCGTTAATTTGCCAGAATGAAAACAACGTAGTTAAGACAGGAAAGAAACAATTATCATTAAGCAGGGTTTAAGGGACTTAAGAGCACTTTTAGCTTTACCTTCTTATACCTTAGTAGGCTATTCACATCTAATCATTAAGCATGAGCATTCACAAGCTGACGGGTTGTTCACTCTCAGTAATTATTTTCAGTCAGTACAAATAATTGCCCTTTAAAATTCTACTTAAAGATGCACCAAGAACCTTAAAAAGGCAACCGTCTCTCAGTAAGCTGACTATTTTAGAGACCTTGAAACCTCTCCTGTGGGCACAACTGAAAGGGCTCATTGTTAATTCTGCCTCTGAATCTTGGAAGCAGAGGCCCTGGTCAAATCAAGTGAGAAAAAACACTGTCTGCATGGTAATTCTTCTCCCAAAATGAAAAGGCAACGGAAGAAAAATCTGATGTTTTGTTGCATTAACACGGGTCATTCTTCTGGAATAAATGATGTCTGGCAAACAAACTCTTGTACCTGAATTATAGCCAAGGGCCACTGTGAAATAGAAAATAGTGGGACAAGATTTTTAAGAACCACCTTCCAAAAATATGCAGAACTCCTTTCTTTAAACCAGAGATTCAATAACAAGACCAAGGAGTTTCAATATCCTATAGCCAGGGCATAAGGCATTAATACAGAGATTGCAATTATGAACAGCTTGCTAGCTTATTCCACGTCACCGCTTGATTTTTTCTTCTTCTGTGTCAGCCTCATTGAAAACAGTGAAGTGAGTTATGTTAATATTCCCACTGAGGTTTTCAGTACTAAAAATACTAGGAAGTAAATGAAGTAGTACAGAAGACAGGTATGTCTCATTAAACTGTCATATTCTGCCTAGCTTTTGTGAGCAGTGTTGTTTATTCTATAGGTTCTGTTTGTTTTTCAAGCTGCCTGGCTAATAGGTTTTCACAATAAAAGTTTTTTTTCCCTAAAGAACCACCAAACACCTTATCAATCACGAGTTACCTTTAACATTAGTCCATCAACTCTCACATCAACATGTTCATCCGACTTCGAATTGTCATTTAACTTGTACATGGCCATGAATTGAACAAGACTCTGTTTCAAATCCAGCACAAACTGATTTAGCCAAAGAATACTTCTCTCATCCAGGGTGAACTGTAAAGCATTCAGCTGACCATACAAATTTGGACTTGGAACTAAAAGAGAAAGTAGAATACAATCATGAGAACAAATGAAAGCTTTAAGGTTTGCCTTTTTTATTTTTTTAATGCATGAAAGTCTTACATTTGCACCTATATTTTACATAAGAAATGAAATCAAAATCTACTCCTCTGATCCCCAGGAAAGAATAAACAGGAGATGCCTGAAGTGATACAACTTTCCTTCTCTCATTTCAGACAACTAACTAAATTTTTGAATGTAAAAGCCAATATTAAAAGATAATGGAGTTGGAGGACAAGGAGAGCATGTCCTCATTACAAAGGGAGGGCAGGACCAAGGAGAGTTGCTGTATTCAAGTCCCATCCCCAGGAAATCCACTGACATTTCTTTATATAAAACAAGGCCAGCCCTGCAACACATTGATAAAAATAACTCTGCCAGATCTCTTGTTGCATCTTAGATAATACTAATAATACAGAGTTTGACTTCTTTTCAGTAGCCAGGTACTGAAAACACATTAAAAGACGCTTGTATATTGCAGAATGTATTTTTATGTCTTAGTAAAAACGTTGTGTGTGTTTTCATATTTAAAACACAGCATTTGTTAGAACCAGTATTTACAGTTGCTTGCTAGGAGCGAAAACTGGAAATGGAGCAGTGTTTTGTTCTTTGCAGTGACTCTGTTTTAAAAAGTCATTACCAATTTTCAACTGTCAATATGGAATCAATATGATTTATACATCAATACAGAAAAAAAAAAAAGAAAAATCTTACTAGGAAAGTCTTTTCCATCTGGGTAGTAATATTCAGTGAATTCAAAATGAATAGCTGGCATTTCTGGTGGAAGATAAAGTGACTTTTTATTGCAAGAGATCAGAGTTTTAGGGGAAGAACGACACTGGTCTGCAGTAGAGACCTGTAAAAGATAAAAGATCAATTTCATTAATATATATTTTTGTGAATCATTGAATGTTTGTAGTTGTCAAGGCACTGCCCCTAGGAGGGTAACAGAGTGCACTGCCCTCGCATATACATCTCAAATTACACAAAGCACAGGCAGCAACAAGCATCTAGTTGCCTTGCAGTGGAAGCAATCTGCATATAATAAAGAGTTTCACAAGAAAACCACAAAGTATTCATGGTACCATAACCCCTTCATTCATGTGAGGCAGGAAGCAGCAGGTCACTTTCAAAGGCACTCAGGAGAAGCCTTGAACGGCTGGATACTTTTCCTGCAGATCCTGTATAAGCAAATACACCAGACCAGGGTATATTTGCACACTGGGCACCTGAAAGGATTCCGTAGTCAGATAAGGGCTTGCTAAGGCTACCAGATAACTTGTCTGAATCCTGGCACTGTCATACGGACAGGCTCCAGGACATGGGGATTGTATTCTGCTAAGCAAGTGTTCAACATGCACCTGGAGGAACCTGTGTATTTGGCTATGTGCCAATGTCTACTTGGCAGGAGAAACAAAGCAGTATAGAACAGTAATTCTCCATTTCTGCTTCCTTCCAATGTAATTTACAAAGCAGTAAAAAGATAATCTTTTGATATATAATATATCTGTCTGTGGATTTCCTGGAAGACACTCTAGTTTAAAACAAAGCTGTTGACCCAATGCCTTGTATGCCAGATTATTATCTTCAAATTAGCAGACTTTTTAATATTAAGTGTATGATGATGTCTACTTTATTTTGCATTAGTCTGTTTGGAAATTCTAAATAGATACCCTTTATAAGCCTGCTTCATAGTATGTAGTTGTTTTTAAAATTGCATACATCTCCATTAAGACACACAAAAATTCAAAGTAATAATACAGATAGATCTACTTCGAAAAATAGTTTTTGTATACTGTACAGAGCTAACTATGGTAGAAAAAGCTGAAAAGGTAGCTATAAGGGGAGAGAAGGAGACAAGCATCTAAGAAGAACAGAAGGCAAATTAAAACACTAACAGTACAAAACGATACTATAAAACCACTTGAAATCCGAACGAAGGCTCCTGGCAGCAAGCTGCAACCTCCTACTCTGCCAGAAAGGATGTGGCAAGAAAAATATTGGAATTGGGTGCAAGAACAAATAAAAGACATACTGGCCAAGGGCACAAGCATTTTTCTTAGCATGTGAAATTTATAACAGACCCTCTAAATTCTGCACTGGAGAATACCCCACCTTTATCCAGTTGCCTTCTCTCTGCAAAGAGAGTGAAATACAACTAGCAACTAGGAGTATTCATTGAAAAAAATGAAAAAGAAAAAAAAAGGGTTAAAAAAATCCATTCAAAATATCACCAGGGGGAGAGGATAACCCCTTAATGTTTTGTTTTAAAAGAGTTCAGTGTACTCTGAAAAGCGTAGTAGTAAGGCAAGCATGAAACAGAAGCCCATATACTAAAATACTGGGTACCTAACATAAGTACAATTAACGAATAAAGTCTGAATGTCAGGATCTGGGGAACAGTAGAACTTGAATCCAAACATAACTGCAATAGGGTATCATCTAATAAAGTTAGCAAGAGTATATGCATTGAGAATATGCACAGGAGAAGCAGGCCCATAAAGGTCTCATCCAGTAACAAATGGCAAGATTTCTGTTAATTTCCATGGGCTTTGGATCTGCCCCTTAAAGCATAGCTACACAACAGTCAAGGGCAAAGTAGACCCAGTTGTACTAACTAGAAGAAATGTACCTGATATATATTGAAATCTGCAAGTCTAACCACAATAGGACTAGACATCAGTTTGCCCTTTGGTTGTTGGGAAGATACAGAGGAAGCCCTAGATGTTCCTTTCGGTATCTGTTCGTTGCCTGTAGGAAAGAATAGTGATGGAATCATTGAAATGAACAGTCGTCTGTAGAACAGTTTTAATATTTCACAAAAGTAGAACCTCAATGGTGCAAGCAAAGTACCTGTTGGTAGGTTTTCAGGAGATATAGCAGGTGGAGATTTGGGAGGAGAATCTGCAGCCTGATCCTTTACGGCTTGCTTAAGCAATTCAACATTGTTTTTGAATTCATTTAGTAATTCTTTGGCCCATCCACTTCTGGCTTTAGTGGCATCGCTATAATGCATCCAGTGATCGCAGCTGTCTCCTGCAAAGAGGGCAAAAAAATATCTGACAGTTTGCTTGTGATTGGAAAACTAGTTTTCAGTATTTTACAGGTTTTCTTCCAGCTATAATGCAATTATATAACAACAGAACTTATAACAGACTATATCACAGAAGTTGTGTATTACATAAACATAAGCTACACTGCTTCACAAGCTCACTGCTGAAAATAACGTAACATTCCACCTGCCTTTAAAGACTCATTGGATATTTCCTGTTAGGAGAAATGTCATGATATATTTGTTTGATATAAGAGAACATGCAAGAATTCTGTCTTCCAGAAAAAAAAAAAAGGGAGCAAAATGTAGGAGCACGTAATAGAATGCAGTTTCCATGCTGTTTCCAGACTTTTCTGCCAGAACTGTGTCTTAAGTTCCTGCTCCCTTTTCAGGAATGTCTTCATTTTGTCTCAGCTTTCCGTGACCTTCACGATATACCAATAAGATGAATTTAATCAATGCCCATGCACTTGGGCTGAAAAATCAAGCCCGGTTTACAGTTTTCGATCTATAACATCTTTCTCCTGCTAAAGTATTTAAAGTTTTGAAAGAATCTAAGCTCTCTACAAACAATCCTTGTAAAGTCAATCTGCTAACCTGTTCAATAAAAAAAGGACAGAATACAAATAACATTCTATCAAACAGTACGTCAGTCTTTAAACATCAGCATATAAGAGCTTACTTAATTTGGAATTTAATGAAGGTTCAGAAAGTGGTACTGGAAATGATGAGATATAGTGGACATTAAAAAAGGAAAATGTCTGGGGGAAAAAACTGGTTTCAAGTCTAAATTCAAAGATTTCAGCATGGAAAACTTTGTAAGGGAAGGGGCTACCATAAGAAATGACATTTCTCCCATCCTCTTGCCTGATAGCTGCACTGATGGTCATTTTTGTCCCCCTAGCTGAGATTAAAAGGGAAAGAAAAAGGAAGGAGAGCAAATGAAGACACATGCATTAGATTCAGGTCCCGGAGGCTGGTGTTTTCCGAACCAATATATTAAAATATATAATGAAACTTGCAAAAGAAAACCATGCATCACAAAGCACTACAGAACACTTCCTTCTTTTATCAGAGGACAACAGGGCAATGCTCAGAGGCACGAAGGGCCAGGTGGTCTTCCCTTCAGTCCTGCTGGTGAGTGGGTAGATTCTGCAGAAGAACAAACAACCAGGTTGCACAACAGGTATCTGCAACAGGAGTTTGGTTTCTATGACCACAGGGCACTCTTTGAGGACTAAAGTCTGCTTGGAAGAGATGGGATTCATCTAAGTGGGACAAACATCTTTGCCATCAGGTTGGCCAACCTGGTAAGAAAACTAAACTAGAATATATGAAAGAGACTGTAGGAGCATGGTGTAGGAAAGGAAGGTGACCATCAATCAAGTGAGGAAGTAGTGGGTCAGGGTGATGTAGGCTGGTGTGCAGAGAATGAATCTGGTAATTAAAAAAAAAAAAAAAAAAAAAACACAGCTGAAATTGTCCCAAGCACATGCTTATAAATAAAGCAGTGCCAACAGGACAATATTACTGCAAAAGTTATAAGCAGACAGTATAATGGGCTGCCTCTCTGAAGTGCCTGTAAACTAGTCTATACAGCCTTGGGAACTAACAGGAGGAATTAGAGGCCTGGGCATCTACATTAACATTGAGATCATGGGGACATGGTGGGATATTGATATGACAGGAGTGCTGTAATGGATGCTCTTTAGGAAAGACAGGCCAGGAAGGCAGGGAGAGGGAATTGCCCCGTATGTGAGACAGAGCAGGGAATGCCTAGAGCTCTGCCTTGGGATGCGTGAGAAGCCAGATGAGAGCTTGTGACCCAGGATTAGTGAGCAAACTAACATGGAGGATGTTGGGGTTGGTGTCTGCTGCAGACTGTCTGACAAGGAAGAAGGTGAGGTCTTCTTCAGACCCTCAGGATGAAGAACCTCACGTTCAGGCTCTTCGGGGAAGAAGCCTGACTTTTAAATGACCCTGGTCCTCCCAGGAAATTTGAACCACCCTGGCATCTGTGGGAAGTACCATACAGTGAGCACAAGCAATCCAGGTCTGTGGAAGGCAGGGCTGCTGACTGATAACAGGTGATCAAGGAACCAACAAAAGGAGATGATCTGCTGGATCTATTTCTGACAAACAGGAAAGAACGGGATTGGACACATGAAAGTCACTGTCAGCCTTGGCTGCAGTGACACGACAGTGGAGTTCAGGATCCTGAGAGGATGGGACAAGACTCTCTTCAGTGGTGCTCCGTGCAGGACGTGAGGCAACAGGCATACACCGAAACGTGGAAGTTCTGACAGAGCACTGGAAAAAGCTTCACAGAGAGGCTGCAGAGTCTCCATCCTTGCAGACATTCAGAAGTTGTCTGGACCTGGTCCTGAGCAACATGCTCTAGGTGTCTGCCCCTGATTGAGGGGGAAGGTTGGACTAGATCATCTCCAGAGGTTCCTTTCAGCCTCACCTATTCTACGGGTCTGTGAATCTCAGTCCTCTGGGACGCATGAGAAAGTCTGGGGCAAGGAAAACTTATCCTCAATAGAGGAGCATCAACTTAGGGAGCATTTACATATATTGGACATACAAAAGTCCACAGGCCCTGATGGGATGCACCAACAAGTGCTGAGGAGATGAGCCCATGTCATTACAAGGCCATTCTTGGTTATCTTTGAAAGGTCATGCTGACTGGGAGAGGTTCCTGAGGACTTGGGAAATAGCATCTGTCACTTCTATCTTCAGGAAGGACAAGAAAGGGGATTTGGGGAAGTACAAGCCTGGCAGCCTTACCTTGATCCCTGGGAAGGTGACAGAGCAAATATTAAGGATAAGAAGGTGATTGGGAGAGGTCATCATAGATTTATGGATGGGAAACCATGCTTGACCAACCTGATAGCCTTCTAACCTGAAGATGGCTGGTTTGGTGGAAAAATGGGAAGCAGTGGGGGAAGAAGTTGTTTATCTCAACTTCAGCATGGCTTTCAGCACCCTAAAATCCTCATTGACAAAGAGGAAGTATGGACTAGCTTAGCGGACAGCGAAGTGGTCTGGAAACTGGCTCAACTTTCAGGCACAAACAGTTGTGCTCAGCAGCACAGTCCAGCTAGAGGCTGGTTATTAATGGTGTACCTCACGGGTCAATACTGAAGCCAGTTTGTCTTCATCAGCGACCTGGATGAAGGGACAGAGTGTACCCTAGCACACTGGCAGATCGTACAGACCTGGGCTACATCCTGGCTGTCATCCCAACCATCTGTTGAATGAACCTCTACTCCCAGTTCTGTATCATCCGCAACCTTGTAGTCTGTCCCTTCATCCAGACTGGAGAAATGGGCAAAGAGGAACCTCCTGAGGTTCAGATATGTAAAGTCCTGCACCAAGGGAGGAATAAGTCCATCCAGCAACACATGTTGATCATCGGGGAAGAAGCTTTGCAGAAGAAAAGACCTGGAGATCCTGGTGGACACCATGTGGACCATGAAACAGCCATGTACCCTTGTGGCAAAGCCCAACTGCATCCTAGACCGCATTAGGCAGTAGCTCAAAGATGATCCTTCCTCTCTGTTCAGTTCTGGTGAGACCACACTGGGAGCGCTGTGTTCAGCGTTCCCCAGTGCAAGAGAGAGACATGGACAGACTGGAGTGTGTCCACTGATTAGCCATGAGGATAATGAAGGGATTGGAGCATCTGTCATAGGAAGACAGGAGGGTACTGTTCTATGTGGGGATGAGAAGGATCAGTGGATCTTAACCATGTGTGTTTATGTGTCTGATTAGATGGTATAAAGACAACTGAGACAGGCTCTTCTCACTGCAAGAGGCAATGGGCACAAACTGAAATACAGGGAACTTGATTTAAATTAAATTTACTGTGAGGACAATCAAACACTGGAACAGATTGCTTAAAGATATTTTGGAGTATTTATCCCCGGAGATATTCAGAATTTGACTGGATTTGATTCTAGGCAGCCTGCTGTAGCAGGCCTGCTTCACGCAGGGATTTGACCCAGACAATCTCCCCAGGTCCTTTCCTATCTCAACTATTCTAAGATTCTGTATACAGAGATATACTGACCTGAGCAAAGTAAAGAGAGACCAGAATGTCACAAGAAAACAGAAATGAAGCCAAATTAATTTATTACAGGTTGCCCAGAAGGAAAATGCTTCCCATTTGTCTCAATATGTCAGCTTGGTCAAGAATTTCCTGTGCTGCAAAACATCATATCCCAATGACATAGCTTCTTTCTCTGATCATCATTCAGCAACAATAATCAGCTACACAAAAAATGGATCTGGATGAAAGTTTCTGTGACAGCACATCTGGGAAGATTAGTAATGTGATGGGTTGCTGTAGAGGCAGATTTACAACATCCAGGAACCTGAACTGTCTGGTTTATGCTAGGATATCACAGTTAATAGACCCACATCCTGCTTCATTTTTCTTAAGAGTACTATAAATCACAGATATTGTTGAAAGGATTGAAGCTGAATGAATTAGAAATGTATCCTACAGGAATTGTGTGCCAGAGTCCCATTAGAGACATTACTGGCATCTGTCACCAAAAGAATAATCTGTAAGAATCCCATCTGCAGAGATGATTAATTGTTGAGAGCTTTTTTTTTTCTTGAAGGGCTAATGGCAATTGCCAGGAAGTTTGGGACCAGAAGAGACATTTCTACACATTACCTAGGCCAACGAGGTACAAAACTAGAAAATAGTCTCATAACAGTCTCATAGGTGCAAAGCTCTTTCTTTCCTGCCCACAGCTGTAAGGAACCAACATGGTATTGTCCATTGCTTAGCCCTTGCTTACAGGTAAGGATTCTATCTTCTTAGTTAATTTAGCAGTGTACATAACCAAGACAGCTACATGGATAGACCTTTGAACATCCAAGATTGGTATGTGCTCTTCTTCTGTCCAGTGAAGTCTCTCTCCTGTGACGATGGTTTGCCCACAGAATTATCACACCTTTCTGCAGCAGTGAGAAGACAGCAACAGAAACTATACAGCGTGTTCCATGTTCCTCCCCACCTTATTTGGCCAAAGAGAAAGACCTTTGACAGTTTCTTCTTATAGTTTAAGAATGGGAATTTTAAGCTCTTTTATTCAAATATATCTGTACAGAACACCATTTAAAATTGTAGGAAAACACTATCTTTAGAGAGATTATCTTTGCTCTGCAAATGATCTTTGCTAGCTCTGGTTTCATGCAACCATTACCCAAGAACATCTTCAGTGAGCTTCTAAAGTGCCTACAGTGCTTACTTCAATCTTGCTGAGACTGGCCAAGTGAGTTCTTCAAAATTCCTAAATTCTCGATCTGGGTCACACACTACTTGTTAGAATCCTTCCAAAATGAACAATTCTGGTTTTACTTGATTATTTTCTTTGCTCTCTATGCCTCCTCAGAGGAGAGCTCATAGAAAAAAAAATAAAGAGTGAGATCAGCCTCTTACCTAAAGAGAGTTGAAGTGATAATATATGACAAATATAGCTGGGTTACAAGATAGGCATATGTTAAAACCCCACTAACTTTGGGTCCACCTTTATAGGAGCGGAAACCAACACCACAAAGATCAAACCACTGATATATGGCAGGAAAAGAATACTGCTACTCTTAAATATACACAGCTGTATAAGAGAATATGCTATCTGAACTACACTAAATTGCAGTACATTTTTTAAGGTGCAAAAGCCACAATTATTTCCTTATGAGACAAGTATAATGAGTTTTCTGAAAAATACATTTAAACGCTTTTTTACAAATCATTAGTAGTAGTTGTAGTTACCTAAATCTTAGCAAAAGACTACACAGATAACTTCAGATACCAGCATGCTTGTTCAGCAAAATAAAACAAAAATGAAACACTGGAAGTTGGAACAAAATGGTAGTCCTCTACATGTAAAGTGTAAGTTTGCTAGATGAGTGGATTGCATCTGACTCTCTGGCAAAAATCTAGAGAATTCACAGTCTGATGTACACTGCCTGCCCCATCCATTCTGATGTGATAAACATGTAAACATCTTTTTGTTGACTAAGCTAGAAACAGTGAACAGGAAAAGTGTTTGGTCTAAAGAGGTAAACACGTCATTTACAGGAAATGACCTGTTGGTTTGGGGTTTTTTTTAGGTTGTTAGGTTTGAGTTAGCTTTTGTTGTTTTTGTTTGTTTTGCATGTACATCTCAAATACTTATGATGTTACTATGCAAGCCCCAAGCATAAATATGTAAATAAATTCAGTAATTAAGCAATAAATATGCTTACAGATACTTGTGAAACACTCACTTTCATACCTGCTTTGTGAAATGGGTAATAGTCCACTGTTAAATAGCTGAAGGAAAGCTGCATTGCCCCTCCTGTAACACGTCTATTTGAGTCTGTAAAATAAAACAAAGCTCAGCTCTGCACACATTGTATTTAGAAAACAAGTTCTTGCATTTATGCTTTCCTTGGAATGTCTAAAATATCTTCCTCCCCTCTACCAGCTCTTGGCACAACCTCAATCTCTTCCCTCAAAATTTCCATTCAGAAAGCCTCCAAAGGTCTCCAAGGATCATCCTGTAGAAATCTCTGTTCTATGAGCAGTCACTGGTAACAAATTGGGTACTGTTGCTACTAAAAAAATAAAAACAATTCTTTGTAGACAAATTACTGCAAGTTTTCTGCAATAGAACTTTTTGTACTGAATACATGATTATGATCAGTTATTCAAAACCAGGAAAATTAATTTCAAGAACATTGTAAACATAATTTGACTTCTTATTTGTCAAATATTATTTCAGTGAAGAGGACTTCTGAGACTCCTCTATTCTCATTTTTTCTACTACTAAATTTAATCTTCATGGCCCAAAATATCAGGTCAAAATAGAGGTCTCACTAAGCACTATAAATCCTAATTTCAGTAGAAACATTACATGTTAAAAAAAAAAAAAACACTCTAATTAGCAGGTTTCATTCTTTGGGGTCAAGCATCTTCTCTAAAGGGAAGTACATTCACCAAATCTTACGTTCTTCATTAATTCTTTCTCAGCAGACCTGTACCCTTGTAACCTGCTACACATTTTCTAGTGATTAGACAGTTCCTCGAGTACACAGGGATAAACCAAAATGTCATTTGTCTTTTTTTTTCCCCGATGGCAAATACCTTTCATTAAAAACACGCAGGCAAAACTATAAGGCTTTGGAAAACGTTTCATTCTTTCAATTTGCTGGAGAGCCTTGCAAGTTTTCTAAATTAGTAATTAATAAAAGAGGACTGCTCTTTTATTAGTCCAAACTATTTGTCTATTACAGATGATGATTGTACATTTCAAGCCACAGTAACATTGCCACTACACTTCTGATAACCTAGTTAGTTCATAAAATAAAACATGAGTAACAGTCTAAATGGACAGAACCTGTTTCTAGAATGTAGAAAAAGCACTGAAGCTACTATCACGATGTTGTATGTATTCCAAAATGATTATAGAACAATAAAGAAACAGGAGTCCTCACTGAGGCATCTAGCCAATTTAAATATGCCTGGAAATTCAGGAAGACAAGCCTGAATATTATCCTAAAATAAAATAAATACAGAAAAACATTAGTGGGTTCCTCAAAATGTCTTTTAAAGAAGATTAGGTAGCACGGACGCATTAAAACATACACACACGCAGAGAAAATGTTTACCTTTTTCTTTAGAATGGATATCATCACAAATATGTAGGTCCAAATGGGAAATTACTAAATGATGAGAAGTCTCCTTAACATCATAATCATTAAACAGTTTCACAATGGCATCATTCTGATCAGGTGCTGCTGTTGTCTGGTGTGCTTTCACCTGCTGAGAGCTGGGTGCAGGGGCAGAGCTCTGAAAATATTTAGTCATATCACTTCACAGAATTTTATCCTTTCACAAGTATGCTTTTACTTACTCAAAACAGATCTTTCAAAACAAACAAACAAAAAAGCATCCAGTGTATTAGTGTTCACCTTATATCATTTATCAGTGCTGTTTTACAGTAGAGCTAAGGTGAGCTAACAGCTCGCTGTCACAAAGACACAATCCTGCTCCATCCTTCCTACCTCCTATACATATCTCCATCCTGTCACTTGCAGCACTGAGATTTCTCTTATGGTTTTGGCAAGTTCTTCAGGGAACTAAAATGGCAGATCGTTTTTTTTTTTTTTTTTTTTTTTTTCCTTCCCTGGGCTAGTTTCTCCCAGTTTAGTTCCCCAAACTGCACCAGTATGGGTCAAATGTGGGTCAGTGCCAGCACCAAGGAATTGCTGGAATGAGAGGGAGCTGAAGAATCAGGACCACCCTGTTCAGTAAAAGCTAATTAAATGGCTGTAATTGATCTGCCATATCACCCCATTAAGTCACTGTGAGCACACGAAATGAACTCTCCATTACAGTACACCAGCTTTGTTGCAGAAGATTCCACACAGATGGCTTCATCTAGTCAGCCTCAGTAATAAAAAGGCCTTTGCTGTTTTGTGTTATTTAATTATTTATTAATAGGGCTATCTTTTATGAGTGCATTTGTCCTGCTTCTTCATAAACAAGATCTCTCCCCCAAAAAAGCCTCACAAACAAAGACCAGTTGGTCCAGTCTGGCCTATGTGCTAAAAGGAAACTGAGATTTACATAAAGGAGTATCTTAAAGGAGTATCTTACATGCACTATCAATATCTATGCCAGCAGACATAGGTTAAAACTATAAGTATTTTCACTACATATTCCAACAAGAGACCTACGAGAGGGAAAACTCCTCTTAATTTTTCAGAACTATGAAAACTTAAACTAGATAAGCATTTTAAAAATATTGCACTGGTTGCATTAATCCACACATTAAGGTCACTTCCCTTCTTTCTTAAATTTACTTTAAAAATACTAACCAGAAAATAATTGAGAGCAAATTCAAAGGAACTTACTAAACTATTAATCAATTGTTAAAACAGATACAGAAGTCTAAGTGTGCCATACCTAAAGAAATACAACTTTTTTCTTTCCTATAACTGACAAATCCTGTAAAATAAACTGTTTTAAACTGCTCAGATTCATTCCTGAAATGATTTAAGATATACAGAAGATTTAAGATATACACTCTAAAGGCAGGAAGTAACTTCACCTTTTTTCCTGTATAAAACTAATACACACACACAAAACATACTGCGTTATATTTTAGAATAGCCACATTTTATAACAGTGTGGGGCAATTATGATACCTGTGTCGTTTCAGAAGCCAAGCTTTTTCTCTGTTCAGTTGACTTCTCTATGGCTTCACTAAGAGATTTGGCATACTGCACCATGGCTTTCAACTGGGAATCCGTCAAAACCCAGAGCAAATCATCCAGAATCAGAATCAGTTTTGATGCCACTACATTACAATCCTTTAACTGTAGGGTAAAAAAAAATAAACAAGTTAAATGGAAATCTAAATACTTATTTCTTATGCTAAATTCATAAAAAATTCTCACATATAAACACATAAATAAATATTAACAATTTTTATATTGCATTTCTCTTACTAACAAAAGATGCTTAAAATGCAGTAGAGCCTATATTTGTGTCTCAATTTTTACTTGTGCAGAGTGCATTGGCTATTAAACTGATATATTTATTTAATTATAAGCAATGCAAATACTGTCTGAAATTAGTGAGGCAAGACAACAAATACCATTATAAATAAAGCTTCCTGGGTAAACTGACTTGTGTAAAAATATTTCTTGCAATTTTTCCACAATTTTAGTGATTGTATATTTATCAGAAGTTAGTTTAGGGAACTCTACATTTTACATGTCCTAAATTTAAAACCTTTACTATGTACATACACACACACAGAGCACAAGCACAATATGAATTCATACAATAATAAAATACTTCAAAATTGCCAAGTTTACCCTTCGTTTAAGCGTGACCCTGATTTTTGACTGGTTGGTAATGAGTCGAACAGGAGCACTCATGATTTCATGCTTAGAACTCTGGATTGCATCTGCCTCTATTCTGATCATCTGCCAGTTGATTTCTTTGAAAGTCAAAACCTTTAAAGAGACAGAGAGGAGAAAAAAAATATGCAACCTGCAAGTTTACTTGTCCATAAACCCTTGCAAGTAGGCATGTGGGTATGAGTGTGTGTGCTCTGAGGACATTATTTGTGCATTTCACTTAACAAGCATCATGAATTAAAGCCCTGATACTACTCTTCAGTAGGTCACAGAAACATGAGGCAGGTTCCCAGCAGGCAGAGATAACAAGCAGCACAGTGCCTTGCAAAATAAGGGTGACGTATCAGGCATGAATTTATTCTTATAACTTCCACTTTCAGTAAAATACTAAGAAGAAAATAAAGGGCACTTCTTGCATACTATGTTATTTAGTGGAAGAGAAATAAAGACGTTTCTGTGTGTTTTCAAAATACTAAATCCCAGTATATATGAAGGGATTTAGGAGGGAAGCAACGATACCAGAAAGGGAAGACATCAAACGAACAGGGCATCAAGAGGAAGAAAAGAGTATTAATCTGGTTTCCCTGAAACTCCTTTCTACATTACTATTTTGTAGGAAAAAAACAGAGACACCTGCTGGGGAAAACAGTAAAAGGAGAGAATCTGTTTGGTATATGTGTCTGTTTTTCAGACACCATTCTCCTCTCATTGCCATTTTGCTAACCTTGGAGCCCAAGTCCTGGGAAACCAAGACAAGGATGGAGCAGAACATGCCAACTGTGTTTGGCAAGGAAGAAGGCACAGTGCAAAGCAGTCTGAGAAATACTATCTGTGGAAAAAAATTGTGTCCAATTCTGGCCTCCTTCAGTACAAGACAGGCGTGAATCTACAGGAACATGCCCAGTGAGGGCCACAAAGATGATTAAGGGATGGGAACATATGAGGAGAAGCTGGGAGAACTGGAACTGCTTACCCTAGAGAAGGGAAGATTCGGGGGAATCTTATCTATGTTTATAAATATCTAATGGGGGGTGTGTCAAAGGGAAGGGGCCAGACTCCTTTCAGCAGCAGGATAACAGGAAACGGCACCAACACAAACACAGGAAGTTCCATCTCCACAACAACAGTCAGTCTTCACCGCAAGGGCGGTGCCACCGAACCGGCTCCTCAGAGAGGTTGTGGGGCCTCCTTCCTTACATGTATTCAAAGGCTGCCTGGACACAGCTCTGGGCAACGAGCTCGAGGTGACCTGCTTGAGCAGGAGTTTGGACTAGATGATCTCCAGAGCTCCCTGACAGGCCCAGCGACCCGGTGGTCCTGTGAAAACCAGAGTACATTCCCTCCTCATTCAGGAGACCAAGTGTGAATGGAAACTCCTAAAAATTTCTCAGGAGAGTCTTCATTACATTAAGAATATAGCTGCAATGCAGACCTTACAGCATTTATCCCCTTAAGATGTCATTTAGCAAAAATTGCTTTTATAGTAGTGTCAGACTTGTTCTTTCACCATTTATTATTAATATAAATCAGTGTCGAGTAATTTTGCCACGGTCTCTTCAAATTTGTGTTCTCAGAGTTCACTTCATTAACAGGAACAATCCTCAACGATAGGATACTGTTGTATATGAGGAGACTCTTCAGAAACAAACCCTGTTTACAAGTGTAAAATAAAAATAAAATGTAGCAATATAAAACTCCATGTAGTCAAACTTCTAACTCTTTCTCCTTAGCCTTCATTAACGTACAAGCCTGACTGTAGAAATAAGCTGCAGGAGAGAGAGAATGCAAACTGTCAGAAAAATAGTTTTGAACTTCCCATTATTTTTACGGTATTTTTAATTATAACGTTCTCTTCGGGTTTCTTCTGGGATGTAAAAAGCAACTACTAGTCTCCTACACTCTGAATAAACTCTGTTTGCTTGGGAAAACCAGTTCTAAATAAACAAAACACAGTCAATATTTAAAACATCTACTTATCCTAAAAAAAAGTAATTTTCAATACAACAAACAACATTCAGAACCAATTTTGAACTTACTTCATATTTATTGCGCTTAAATGGGAGAAAACTGTAGAATGGTGTGCATCAATGCTGGACTTCAATATTACTTTGCTGCTTTCTGGAAAAACTCAGTACTCAGTTGTTATTCTGCATATGCATTACTAATTATTTAAAGAAAAAATATTTGCAGATTTCTTAAAAGTCAGTTAAAACTAGTTAAATAATATTCTAATTAGGCAAACTCTCATAAACAAGTAGACCAATGAAAGGTCCAATGAAAGGTATTTTGTTGGGGGCGGCGGGGAGGGCAGAATGTGTTAAAGCACAACAACACCTTTTTTTCCTCCACATTTAATATTCCATCCTTTTTTCATTCATTTACTCTTCCATTGTTTTTCCTTTTGGTGTCCTTTATTTTAAAATGGCCATAGAGAATGGCTTAGAGAACTTAACAGTGAACATTACACACAGTCGCCCCTGGTCTTTGCTTTTCCCTCAGCATCCACTTTGGCCACTGTCAAAACAGACCTTGGATATGACTCAAACCCACTGTTTTTACATCCTTATGTTTCTAGAGGAAGGCTGAAATTACTGCAGAATATCTCCCCAACAACAACACATTTTCCAGACTGCAGAAGGCTGTAATTCAATTACCTCCTCCCATATTAAAAAAATAATGAAAAGAGATAGCAAAAGGAAGTATTTACCTCTCCACGTTGAGCTTCTTGTATTCTGGTAAATCTCAGGTCAGCATGTTCCCAATTTGCATTTACACTATATATTCTCAGCTGGGAAAGTTCAAATGAGGCATTAAAGGCTTTTGCGCCAATCCTTATTATAATGGAATTCACAGAAACCGAAATTCCTTCTACCACTTTTTCAGCAAAGCCATATTCACTGGAAGGTGAAATGCCAACATATAAAATATAGATCTAATAAAAGGGCATAAAATTACTCATATTTACTGATTTATATACAACATGAAACAGACCACACAATTTGCAATTCCTACTTGTGATTTTTATTAAATATACTGGATTTATCTTATAATTCACATATTGTTACACTTCATGGAGACTGATCTTTGTTCACAATTAATGCCACTTTGCACGATGTATGTATAAAAGCAGTCTACACCACTATGTAGAAATCTCACTCCTCTTTAGGCTTATACTTAAGGAGCGATATATACCAAATACGTGACTTAACTACATTACTATTCCAATCTTGCTAAACATTATGAGCAAAGTATGTCAACTACTTAAAGTAGCTGCTTTGTTTCTTTCTAAAAAAGAAAGCCATCACAAATGGTCACATTTATGTATCATATCAACATGCAAAGCAGTATTTAAAAAGATAAGGCAATTATAATTAAAATAAATCTTTACATTTAGAATGCTCTCCATTAGTGAAAGGAAAACTGTATGTTAACAATTCTTTTAATATCTAGCATTTTTTTTCTCCATTGGAGGGTTTTTTTTTCTCCTTTTAGGAGGACATTTTATGTGGTTTCTTATTCCTTCTCCCTTTTTACATCTTTCATCCTATAACACAGAATCTCTATGGCAATGATTTTCAATCCATATCCAAAGCCATGTAGAGGCCCATGGATTAGTACTATGGTTTGTGTGAAGTTATAAAGTGAATAACACTGGTTTGTACCATCAAATTGGTTTATTTTCTATAGGATTTTGTGAAAGAGGTTGTGTGTCCACAAAACAGCAAAAAAGGCAAAAAAAGGAGGAAAAAATGTTACTAATGCTTAATATTAATATATTGTCCCAGACTTTTATATGTTTTTTAAGCTCTGTAATGTGCATAGAATTATTGGATAAGATTTGGCTGATAAAAGGAAGGAAATAGTGTGGATTTTTAAAAATTCTATCTAACAAATAACCCTTAATGCTGTTCAGTAAACTGAATGAAAAAAAAAATCACCCAAAATATTTTCCAAATAAATTAAGGAAAATAATCTAACTTTCAAAAAATTAAATATCGAATGATCTTAGAATACTTTTGCTAGAGCAGTAATGCCCAAATGAAATATTTCCAGAAAACTGTACATATAATTCAGATATTCTTTCCAAGATAGGGTCTGAAATTAAACATTCCCATCCATCAGAATACCTATGTTAATACCTAAAAGCCATCACCTAATTTCAAGAGGTTGAAATGGCAAGGTGTGACACTATACACTACAGGAATTAGAGATCCAACTGGTTTATAGTATGTATTCTTTAAAAAAAAAAAAAAAGTAATTTAAACATTTATGGATCAAGCATCTATATAAGCATTAACCCTGACCTTTGTCCTGATGCAGTTGCTATAGGAGAGGGTCCATTAGGGGCACGTGGCTCTTCACATGTACTCATTTCCATTACAACTTTATCCAAGGACTTGCAAAACAAAGCAAAACAGAAATTTGGAGATGTAAGAGATGATATAACATGTATTTAGTCTATTAAAAAGAAAGAACATTTTGTAAAACATATTTATAAAATATTTGTGACTATAGATTTTTTTCACCAGTTTTTGTAGAATACACCAATTATGTTTTTGCAAATTTGTTAGTGAATTTTAACAGATGTTCAAGGTCACAGGCTGCAGAATTCTTGACCCCTAGCTGTTATTTACCTGTCATACACTTCTTCAAAAATTGAATTTTGAAAAGGACAAGAAATAATGTATTCTCATCTGTTTTTTACCTATAGAGTTATTCCTAAATTTTCTAAATGGTTCAATGTGTTCAGAAATATTTAATGGAAAGTATCTGAAACTAGCCCATTCAAATTCAAAATAGTCATTAAAGTTTTGTGCTGTGTCTTTAAACAAAATTTGAATGTAAATAAAAATTGGTTATACAAACCTTGAGTAGACCACAGCAAGTAATTTTAGAAAGAAATATTGTGTATAATTTTATGCTGCCATTACTTTTTTTTTTTCCTACACAAAGCAGGCCTTTACAAAGAAGCTTAGGGGAACAATTCTGCCACTAAGGAATTCATGTAATATAAATAAAAGTTAACTAAAAACATCTGGATGCAGATCTACCTATCCTTTCTCCCTTTCCTCATTGGTAACTACTTGTATTTTGATAGAGGATAAACCCACTCTCTAGCAGCGCTCCTCAAAATTATGTTGTTTATCATGCAGAAAAAGAGTGATTGATTATGGGCAAAGGTAACTTAGTATTTACTATCTGTCACTATGTTAAAGATTTTTTTTTTTTAAACACAAAAAATTACTCCTTTCCAAGAAAAAGTCTCTCTCACGAGACAACCAGGCACTAGCTACCTTCTAAGCTATGCATATAGAAGATGCCAGGTATATCAGATTACTTAAAATGCAGTCAAACTCTCAGCTGTAAAAATAGCCCCACCAAATAGTAGAAATTCAGTGATGTACTGAAGGGCTGAAGCTGGACATTTAATCCTTTAAATTTCCCTTCCTTTACAAGTCAAAGACTCTTAAGCCATTAAACTGTGGTCTTTTGTTATCAATTTCCATTTAATGCATTGGTTCAAGGACAGCTTTTGTAGTACAAAGGTGACCTTTTAAGTTATCTTAGCCTCAAAGATTTCTTACTAAATTCACTATAAGCTAAGCAAATAGTAAGGCCTTGCTATGGTAAAACAAAGCATGTAATCTTTAAGAACAGCACATCTTAAAGGGCTTAATTTGGCAGTTACATCATATGGTCAAAAGGTTACAGCACCCCACTTGAGCATTACCACACTTGTGTGTCTGCAAGGCAAAGTGGTGCAAGTGAAGGATCACCATCAAACGCCTCGAGGATTAAAACAACAGATTTTCCCAAGTTCGATTCAGAATTACACATTCAAGTACTCATAGTGAGTTTGGGAAGCATCACGATTAAAAGATTATTCACTACATAAGAAAATATCTTTAAGAAGGCTTATCGATCTCAAGCAAATTACTTGCTGTGCTCCCACACTTCTTGGTATACTTGTTAAAAATAAAGAGCAAAATAAAGCAAATAAACAAACAAAAGCCCTAATTAGCATTTATTACAGTTGGTGCTGAGTCTTATTCATCTCTTTTGCATCCACTTTACAGCCATGGTGAACTCTTGAGCTCTTGCAGAAACCATATAAATGTGACTTGTCATATCTGCCAGAATTGGGATGACTGGGTAGGGTAGAGGGGTAAAAATATAAAAAGTCCTTTAGAGTGATAGTTCTAAAAGATAGGCAGGAACTTGTAACAGCACTAGGTAGACAAATAACTACCTGTCAAGTAAAGCTGAAATACAACATAATGATTAAATAAGTTTTTTGGTTTTGATAAGGATAATTTACACAGTAAAACATTATGATGATTAGACCCAAAGCCATAGACAGTAAAAATAAGCTAATTACCTGAAACACTAAAGTGTTTTATGTTGATCTGCTACAGAGAGGAAGCTTAGCATAGAGCCTGCAAATATTTAAATTGTTTCCAAGTCAGTTCAGGGAAACTATATAAATGAGATGAATTCTCCTACACAGAGCTACTTAGGAGTTTGTTTCAGAACTCACCAAGGAGATGGGAAGCGTTTTCAATTTTGTCCACGGTATCTGCAAGAGAAAGCATGATTTTAAAGTACTTGATTATAATGTGCTTTAGCTATATATAGTTACAACTCCTGCGACCAAATTAGTATATTACTTTCTAAATGTCAGGTTTATCTGAAAATACTGAATAATAAACTTAAGCAGATACACTACTATTTTTGACACCTAAAAGAAAATTTGGAACCTGCATGTCATTGAAAGGAAAACACAGAGACAAAATAGAATCTGTCTCTTTAATACCAAGTTGTCAAACAACAAGAAAAGCAACACTGTCCTCCACATTCCTTCCTTTAAAAGGAAAGGAAATCCACATTTGCACTGTCGGCCTATGAATAACTGGATGTCTATAACACAGCATCGTGTTCAGAATGTTCACTCAGTTAAAAAAAAAAAAAATCAGGTCTATCTCATATTAAAAAGAGAGAAGAACTGCCAACTCTTGACCTGGTCATAGCTTCATTTTTCTACTTACACTAGCATGATCTAAACTGTACACAATGTGTATTGCTTCATCTCTTAGCAGCCATAAGGATTAAAAAAAAGCAATGTCTGTTAAATAGTTTTTCCATATTTCCTACAGAGAGCAAAATCCCTCAAAAATTTTTTTTGAAATAGAAAAGGAACAAGAGGGATAGCAACAGAAAATGGAAGAGAAAGCGAAGGAACATCACACACAAGAGACACACTAAATAATAAGAGACCATAATCACCATGGACAAAAGACAAGTTTTCATCTCTACCCCTACTTTAAAATATACATGATGAAAATCACTCAAAAAGGAGGAAACAATATCTTGTCTCTGTATAGATTTCATGCCCTCCCTATGGGAAGCAAAAATTAAGACACAACTATTGTTGATCTTTATTTTTCACTCGCTTTTCTAAGGATTCATCACAATTTCTAATCATACCATACAGCCTGATAGTTGATAGGGACAAAAGGAAAAAGGGAAAGTTTTGGTTAATTACCATCCCAGCATAATAAAATGCTCACCCTAATGGATGCTTTATTGCAAAAGACCTTGTTTATAGCCAGCCACGTTGGTAGATCCAGCATGTTCTGAAGCACCTCTTGATCCAGCTCCAGGTTGGTCAACTGACCTTCCCCTTTTAATGTGCTCAGGTTGATCTTGTCAGGCGACAGATTTTTGGTGAATCTAAAAGCAAATACACATCCTAAGTAAAGGCACATAAAGCACACAGAGCTCTCCCAAATGTATCTAACAACTTAACTACAGTAACATAGGAAAAGGGGGCGGGGGAAAGGGGACAGTTTCACCCCAGAAAGACACAGTACTGCGGTGTTTCACATGTGCTTTGTCCCTCTAAATTTCTTTCATCAAATCGCCTCCATTTACATGTAAATACACAAAATTGTATGTATTATAAGATACATCACTCTGAATAACAAAACTTTATCAAGAATATAGTCAGGTACTGATTTTGTAATCCATAAGGCAGAAGTGAATCCATTTCTGTAGGTTTCTATGCTTCTATAGGTTTTGGAAGAAGGAAAAAAAAAATCACCTTCAAAAGCACATTTATTGACATTCTTGGAGCAAGCAGAAGTGGCTGAGAATTCACTTAAGAACAGAAACGAAAAGGTACTACTTTTACATATTTTTTTTCTATCTATACTTACACTTTATATTTCAAAAAGAAAAGTTTTATTTACAATAATTTTACAATTATTTACAATATTCACATTTAATCATAGAATTCAATAAAGTTGCATTTAAACAACAAATATGTCATAATTTCATTATATATTTTTCGCCATCAGCTTTCACACACAAGAATTCATGCCACAAACCTAAATTTGGCATACACAATCAATACCCATGTAGATTGAGGGTCAGGAGGAACGCACACACGCGGGCAGGTGCAGGAACACACGCACTGCCCTCCACCCCGGAGCAGGAAGGGAATGCGCAGGGGACATCTGTGGGGACAGGAAACTGGGACAAGTTGGCTCTGAGGAGCTGCAAACACTACAAAATGTGCCCAAAGGATATGAAGTAACAAGATAAGGCTGAGGCTCTGGGTGAACAAGGCTTTGGTGCTCTGTGGAATAATTCCTCTGGGCACCCCCTATTGCAATCCGGCACAAACCTGCAGGAAAATCTAATCCCTTTGGGCTAGCGGCACCTCTAGTAGCAGATTTCTCCATTCCACTTCCACAGAGGGGACGTGGTTGACGAGCAGATACTGGGGAAGGCAGTGGTATTTTTCCGAAATCTACAGTAACTTCATAATTTGCGACAACCACACAACATCTTCCACCTGCTTCATCCAGAGCCAACTTTCCCCAGGGGATGACAAGATGATTCAAGTTCCTCTGCTAATTCCCTGCTTCTTGCAGAGTCAAATTTTTGACAGAACGTTCTTGTTTCATTTCTCTCAGATATTTTTAGTACTTTTGTATTGTTTCATACAACCTCAAATAATGGGAAAACCACTTAGCTTCACATGGTTTCCTTGAACTTGCACAAAAAAATTAGAAGCCAGCCCCTGTAGGTCACTAGCTTGCAAAACTAAATGGAACATTTAGTTTTGGGAGTGAGACAGAAGGCACTGCAGTTTACAGCATTCAGAACTTCAAGAACAAAATTAAAGGACAAGAAGAGCACCCTTTGAACTCAAAATATACCCTTAGGATAACCCTCCATACTGCGTTGTTCCAGTATCTCACAGTACATCCAGGGAGGACACGCTCTGCCAGGCCGGCAGCCTTGACTTCTCTTCCCGTTTTCTACTCGGTGAACAGAGGCTGGGCGAGAATGGGCGCCACAGACAGGTTGCAGCACCTCTTATGCAGCACTGACCTTCTACAAGGTGGCATAACCACCACTGAGAAAACTCTTCCCCAGGTAAAATCTGGGTAATTTAATATTTAATAATATTACTTTCAATTTTTATTGTTAAATAATGTTTTAATATTTTTTTAAATAAACTCTGGTATTAACAATGCCTTGAGGATGTTTTCAAATATTTCTTAACATTTGAAGTTCAAAAAGGAAACATTAGGTCTTTTGAGGCTGGCAGATTTTCTCTGTACCTAAAGAATTTTGGACATGTAATGCTTAGTTGCATGAACTTTCACAACTTGCTAGGTTATTTATTTTCTACAGAGTTTCTATGTAAAGTAGACAGGCACCTTTCATAAGGCTAGTGAACAATCTTGTTATTCTGAGATACAGTAATTTGATGTAGCAAACATATTACATGAAAAAACCCAACATTTTTAAATTCTTTATTTCTAACAGCAGGCCTCCATAATACTATTCGAAATTATCAATGCAACCAGCTTCATCACATGAACACACTCCTTCTCTGACTTGGTATATGGCAAATGCCTTCCTTTTTTAATTTGGACTTCGTTTTAGCATTCATTTCTTAGAGCAAGTTGGCGTACAGAATAGGGCCATTTCCCTTGGCAACATCCCATGAACTCCTGAGCAGTGTCCCTTTTCTAGGGAACAGAGTATTAGTACCTGTAACTTAGTAAAAACACCAAACCAAACAACAGAGGAGGTTAAAAGGAAGAGCAAGAGGAACAGAAAATAAATGGCATATTGAGTTCACATTCTGTCCTGTTGTTATGCTGTTGCAGTTAAACATCACTATACTGAGACTGCACAGTCTTGGTCTGGTAATACCATGAGATATTCCTAGAAAAAAATAGTTTCATTGATATTATTCAATTTTGCAAAACTAAAGAATTTAATTTTACAAACTCCCCTTCCTTTCTCAAAGCATACATTCAGAAGTTCTTCTGTAATGACAATTCAGCTTACTATTCAATTTTACAAGCTATATGAATGCTATAAAATATTTGGGACTCCAAACCTAAGAATCAGGAAATATAAACTTATCTATGCCGCAGCTCAACCTAGCTCCCTTGTGCAAACATATACGTGTGTGTACCATATATCTTAAATATTATTATGCAGTAAGCAGCTGGTTCAATTTTCATATACAGAGTGCTTATTAAGTGGCTAGTGAAAAGAATAAGAGACTGCACAGGTGATATCATAGCAGTAAGAGTCAGATGTGACGCAGTAATTTACAATCGTGTTTTGTTAGGAGTATAATTAATAGCATGCAGATATGTGTTTAAAATAATTAAAAACTGACAGAGAAGACGCGTCATTCAGAGCTTTGTTTGTGACAACAGGCGTGGAGCTCCGACCAGAGCTCTCCGCAGTGCTCCACAGTCAAGACGGAAAACTAGCGGACGCACCAGAGAGGGCAGGAAGCTGACAGAATTAGCTTACGCTTTGTAAAATAAATGCCACAGATCACATCAAACCTAGATTTTTGCTCCACCAAGGTTTGAAGAGAATACCAGATGTCTTGTCAAGTTCAACTGAAACGTCAGCCTCTGGATTTAATATAGAAATATGTAAAGTCTGGATCACATTTTGAATGGGATCCTCAGATGTTTTGCACATCTACTGAATATAATCCATTCCACTGGTACTACCATATCCCTCTACACCTTTTTTAGGTGAAGTTCCTTCAGTGAGTTGTTCCTACGTATATACTCTAATCATGATAAGACTATTAAATCTAAGACATGGCATTTTTTTTTCTTTTTGCTTATCTCCATGCTATGAATTAGAACTCTTTAAGAAGACTAACGGTTCAAACAAGCACACTCTGGAAAAGGACAGTATGTCCTCACAAGGACTGGCAACTGTGTCAATAAGAACATAGAGGAATGGAAAAGAAAGATGACTCTCTTTTTCCAATTCATCTGACTGAACAAAAACCTAATGTTTTGCACTAATGAATTGCATACAATTTCTGAAACAAGAAGCACAACCTCATTCCTTAATTCCAGCTCTGAGGAAGACATATGCTTCCATGATTTTAGTAACAGAAGAAAGGAGGCCCAGTATCGTCCTGCTTACTGTAGCAGTATTGTGGTGTAATACTACAAATTAAAGTTGATTTTTAACAGCTGACCTGGTCTGAAAAATTCCCAAATTTGTGCTCCTCCCACCTTTCATTAAGCCAAAAACATGGAAGGAAAAAAAAATAACATGCTGCAAGCAACATAATAATTTCCTTTCTGTGTTTATTTCCTGCAGCCCGGAGCAACATGAACACGTGAATGTTTCTCATGAACAAAACTTTACCTGCAAATATTGACTTAAGAACCACTGCTATAGTTTTTGCAATAGCAGCACATCAATAGTTAAACCAAAGTACAAAACTGTTTAGATCCATTTAGATGACAGAAGTCCAGGAGGAGAAAAGAAAACTGCCTCCTAGAACAAACACAGCTCCACATACCAATGACATTAAGCGTAAGGACATTCAGAAGAGCTCTGAATAGCATTGCCTTTTTGATCCAAGAGTGAAAAGAGAGAAGAGAAAGGATAGGTCAGATTTAAAACAGCCACAGGATTAAAAAGATTTCACTGTTGTTAAGCAAAGGTATCGTCTGAAGAAGATAGACGCCATAGATGCAACAAGTGACTGAACTGCATTAACTAAGAAGTGAACTAAGTGGTGAACCAGGGGCAAACAAATGCAACTTCTGCAAAAGAAATCTACTTTAATCCTTCAAACATAAGAAACAAAATCATCATCAGTCAGCTGATATTATTTCTTGGCTCTTTAAAAACTGTTCACCAAGGCATCTACCCAAAAGGTGCTACAAAAATTGACAATGTAATACGGGCTCTATATTACTAGAAACTGGTCAGGACACCATACAAGTAATTTTTTTTTTTTTTTGTTACAACACATTACCAGACACACTTTCAGACACTGAAGTTCTTTAGTGAAGGTTAGACTACACACAGTACATTATGTAGATAACGAACTTTCGTGAGGCTAAATTTCAGTATTTCTGGACTAAAATAAAACCCACAAACAGTGGCATCCTCACAATCTGCACAAGGAAAAGAACATGCCATAGCACTGTAAAGTCTCACCACCACGATATCAGCAGCCTCTGGGTAACTCGTACACAAACCTGCAAAGGGAAAATTGTGGCAGTCTGAGGCCATCGTCCAGACTCTATCCAGAGGTCACTGACAGCAGCAACGCTGCTTTTGTCCAGCATGGACTACCACCTGCCATGCACACTCCTTCCAAGAGGCCCCTGTCAGTATACGAACAGCCGAGGCAACCATTCCCGAAT